TGCCTACAAATGGGGATGGAATTTTGAAGACATGTATTCCCAAGAGAAGCCAGGGCAGCTGGGGAGACAAAGAGTGGATCTTAGAGAGGTGACAGACATCCACTATAACCAGCAACACCAATGTCTTGTACCTCAGTGCCTGAGAAGCATGTGGGACATTGGTAATTTAGGTTATGGTGGGACAAGCTTTCTGCCTTGATTGCTCAAATCTCCTCAGTGGATATTGATACTGATACATTAGCATATTGTCTGAGATATTGTCAAAGGGATTCATGTTTCACGAATCATGAAAGACAGTGAATCATTAAGTTCTCCAGCACTAGGATTTATAGTTCTGCAAAGTTCTAGGCCTGCAGCTAGGCCAGACAGAGACAGGGGGTAGCCCCCATGTGCCTTTAATCAGAGGACTCTGCTTTTATCTGTTTTATATCATAGATTGGGCTCCTAGGTATAGTTTTCTTTTTTTTTTCGTTAGAGACAGAGTCTCACTTTGTTGCCCTCAGTAGAGTGTCTGGCATCACAGCTCACAGCAACCTCCAGCTCTTGGGCTTAGGCCATTTTCTTGCCTCAGCCTCCTGATTAGTTGGGACTACAGGCACCTGACACAATGCCTAGCTATTTTTTGTTGCAGTTTGGCCACGGCCGGGTTTGAACCCGCCACCCTCAGTATATGGGGCCAGCACCCTACTCACTGAGCCACAGGTGCCTCTCTAAGGTATAGTTTTCTTAAAACAGTACTTTCTCAATGTTAGGCATCCATATGCCACTTTTTTTGATGCTTCATCTTTCTGAGACACCAACTACCTGTACCAAGACTCTCCTAATGTTTATTTCAATCAATGTCCCTTAAAACTTTTGACAACTGTGAATGGACGACCAGCATCACTTGCCATGAAGGAAAGTTTACCCTAAGAGTAAATGCAACAAAAAGTGCTGTTTGCAAATGGCTGATGGATACCACTATCTACCCAAAGTGCTGAGCTTGAAGCTTAAGTCTTAATCTTCATTTATCAAAGAAGAGACAGGGGTTCGGCGCCTGTAGCTTAAGCGGCTAAGGTGCCAGCCATATACACCAGAGCTGGGGGGTTTGACTCTCAGCCCGGGCCTGCCAAACAATGACAATTACAACCAAAAAATAGCCAGGCGCTATGGCAGGCACCTGTAGTCCCAGATACTTGGGAGGCTGAGGCAAGAGAAATCACTTAAGCCCAGGAATTGGAGGTTGCTGTGAGCTGTGATGCCACAGCACTCAACCCAGGGAGACAGCTTGAGGCTCTGCCTCAAAAAAAACAAATAAACAACTACCACCAAAAAGAAAAAAAGAGAGAGACAAGGAGATGGGAGGTGTTAAAGCAATACCTTCTTGTTGAGGTGTCCAAAAGGAGCAACAGAATAGAAAAGAGACTTCCTCAGTGTTAGTGATATTTAATATAACATCATCTTCCAATGTAGAGGTATGTCTGCCACACTTTAGGAAATGCTATGTTAAAAGAAGCTCTGCTGCTAAAGAACGAAATATTTGAAAACCATTTTTCTAGGTCACAGGAATCCCTGGGACTGGAACTTTCCAAAAGATTTCTATTCATTAGAGACATCTCTTCTACTTCACCCCTACACTTAAGATGCCAGAATCTACACACATCAAAAAGAAGGCTAATATGTACTGTTCTCTATAGGGAACCAATAGGGTGGGGCAGAGGAACTTCTCCATTTTGCTCTGTACACTTCTGTATTGTTGGAATATTTTTAAAGAGTGCATTATGGGGCAGTACCTGTGGCTCAGTGAGTGGGGCACTGGCCCCATATACCGAAGGTGGCGGGTTCAAACCTGACCCCGGCCAAATTGCAACAAAAAAATAGCTGGGTGTTCTGGCGGGTACCTGTAGTCCCAGCTACTCTGGAGGCTGAGGCAAGAGAATGGCCTAAGCCCAAGAGCTGGAGGTTGCTGTGAGCTGTGATGCCGCAGCACTCTACCGAGGGCGACAAAGTGAAACTCTGTCTCAAAAAATAAATAGTGCATTACTTCTGTAATAGAAAATGGTACCTATTCATTGTGGGAAATCTGGAAAATAGAAGTATGAGGAAGAAACTAAAAATCCTTAACTTAAAAACACTTGAAATTTTAGGGAATTTCCTTCATCCTCTTTTCTATAATCATATAACTATTGCTATTTGTTTTTTTTTTGAGACAGAGCCTCAAGCTGTCCCCCTGGGTAGAGTGCTGTGGCATTACAGCTCACAGCAACCTCCAACTCCTGGGCTCAAGTGAGTCTCCTGCCTCCGCCTCCCAAGTAGCTGGGACCACAGGTGCCCGCCACAACGCCCAGTTGCAGCCGTCATTGTTGTTTGGCGGGTCCAGGCTGGGGATTTGAACCCGCCACCTTAGGTGTACGTGGCTGGCGCCTTAGCCGGTTGAGCAATAGGCGCCGAGCCAACTATTGCTATTTGTAAATCCTCTAAACATAATGGCTAATATTCTGCTTTATCACTATTATATCATGAGCCCTTCCCCAAATAATCAGAAAATCTTCACAAGTGGGTACAGTGCTAGACATTAATGGGCTTACCAACTTTCAGTTCCTTTCTCTTGGGCACAGAGGAGATACTTTCAACCTTTTTGCAATTGGGCCAGTGTGAATACTTCTGACCCAGGAAACATGAATGGAAGTGACAGGCAGTACTTGCAGATGTCCCAAATGAGGCCTTTGCCACCCTGGTCTCTTGAGGAGACAAAGCAGATCCCCCACAAACTCCTACTAAACCACAGTGGACATATGATATGAAAGAAATAAAATTCTATTCACTTACTAAGATCTGATACTGAAATCTGTTGCAATAGTTATCTCATTCATCCTGATAGGATATGCCATTTAAAGGGGTGCCAGTCCTAAATTAACTAAGTCTGCCCCAAACTTCATTCATATTCTGTCAACTTTTGGCCATAGCTATGTATACTACCAGTATTTGCCTTTAAATCAGTTCACCTTAAAAAAAAAAAAAACCCAAAAAACAACTTAAGTCAAGGAGGACTTTTTCCCACTACTTTGAGCAGGACACTAGTATACTTGTCACTAAAAGGAAGAGGGAGGAAGGGAATTAAATACTAAGACAGCAAAATATACATATTTTTGATTACTAATTAAAAATACTATCTGATAGCTCGGTGCCTGTAGTTCAGCAGCTAGGGTGCCAACCACATACACCCGGCTGGAGGGTTTGAATACAGCCTGGGTCTGCCAAACAATAATGACAACTACAACCAAAAAATAGCCAGGCGTTGTGGTGGGTGCCTGCTGTCCCAGCTACTTGGGAGGCTGAGGCAAGAGAATCACTTAAGCCCCAGAGTTGGAGATTGCTGTGAGCCGTGACACCACGGCACTCTTCCAAGTGCGACATAGTGAGACTCCGACTCTCTATATTATCTGAGGCCTATTGTTTGTTTAATTACAGGAGTGAACTACATGCTGCCTGTGCTTTCTCCTTGGTTATTCAGACTTGTACAGAACTGAAAAGCATTGTTTGATGATGCATCTGAGGACCAGCTAAAATTGTATAGTTCCCCAAAGATCTGTACCCTGCCTAGTCTGTGGAAAGAGATTCAGCTGTTCCCTCTTACTAGGCAACATTCACCATCATAAGGCCTCCCCCATTCTCCTAAGCAGGGACTCTTGATGCCTGGCGTCTGGCTGTGTGGCACCCAGTTGAGAGAAGAAACCAACACTTTTAGACTCAAAACTTTAATCAGAAGAACACACTAACATGCACACATGGAAGACATTTCTACCCTGGCCCCCAGCAACAGATAATCACAGAGATTTAGCCCTGCTAAAACCAATGGCTACCAATTTTCTAGGAAGCCTCCTACTACCATCATTGGTGTCAAAAATTCTCATTGAACACACTTACCAATTCTTTTCCTGTCCTGAAACACTTTGTATACCCCTTTCGTATGTATTAATAACATGCTCATCTCCTAGACAGAGTTCTAGAGGGAACAAACTATATGCATGGAGTTAAAAGGTTTTGGCCATTTGAAAAACAGTACACTCCCCACTGTTGCATGGGCCCAGTGATCAGCCAAAAGGCTCCCAATTTCAACCATAAAACCAAAAGAACTCAAGGTGCAAGGTTTAAATAGTCCAAGGGTAGAGCACTTACCCCTCAACTATTTTAAACACTGAAAACATAAAAGGTAAAAGGGTCTGTTTTCATAACATTCAGTCATGCTTCAGCAAACATGTGACTGGATCACTTAGTGGGTCAGGCACAAAAGCCCAGAGCAGACGAAGCAGTCAAGAGGGAGATGGTTGTATAGTTCCATCTCTTTGGGCTCTCCAACAATCCTTGGTGGTCCCAGAACTTCCTGACATGAGGGAATATGATATTTTTAGGATGTCACTTGTTAACAGCAATCTTCTATGAAAATGGAGTCATTCATTTTCCTTTCTGATTCTAGAAGTTTCCAAGCAGGGGCAGTGTTTATTGTATTGGTGTTATCGACTCCAATCCTAGCGAATTGCCTGATGAGTAGTCATCCTGGATAAACGGTGCACAATGAGCAGTAACCACTCCTACCTACCACTTTTGCATACCACAATTTTCAACTCCCCACGAATGTCTTTCATATACACTGTTTTGTGTAACATCCTGATCAATGCAGCTTTCCTAAGTGAATCCAGCTGTGTTTTCAGTTATCACTAACTCCCATGATAAACTGTGTCTCACATGTATAATCAACAGCTTTCAATGAAGGAAGATTACGATAAGAGGAAACGTGTAATGTGAGAAGGAATGTCCTCTGAGTGACAAGCTTGGGCAGTTAGGAGTGGAAAATTTTAGCCTCAGGTTAGGAGTTTATACTCTTTTTGGCCTTCTGCAAGTTAAGAAAAAACTAGGACAAAACAGAGAGATAAATGTCAGAAAAGGCAAGAAGGACATTTTTAAAGAGTTAAAATGGTATACAAAAACTTTTTAAAAGGAAAATTTAAACTAAAGGCAGTAACATTATGAGAACATTAAGTGCAGTAAAAAGAGGCAGGTTACCAATTGTTTTCTTCTTTTAATGTAAAAGAATATATTTGTGTTATAGCTGACAGGTATTTGTAGCCCACACTAGGTGAGTACTTAAATGCTGGATATTGGTTCTAAGTGCTTCACATTTATTTATTTAATGCAACACCCTCTGAGGTAAATATTGTGCCTGTTTTACAGATGAGGACACTGAGGCCCTGAGAGATTTTATGATTTTCCCAAGGTCACTTATGTGGTACACAGTAAAGGTGGTGTTTAAATTAGGCAGACTGGCTCCAGTCTCCCTCTGAATCCCATTGTTGTATGGCTTCTCAATTTTTGTTTTCCTTGTTTTAATGCAACTCATGTGTGCAAACATTTTCATCAATCTTTACTAATAGAGATTTATTTATTTGGAGAGAAGCTTGCAATGTGATGGTTTCAACTTCTAACCTCATATAAACATGGTTTCAGCTATCTGGGGGCTCTGCTGCCACCCAGTAGCTGTAGGAAGTATTGTTACTTGTGTACCCTCTGATGGCGGCTAAGAGCTGAGCAGGACCGAAAGGTTTTTTGACAATGTTTACACTGATAAGGTTTCTCCTGGGTGTGAATTCTCTGGTGCTGACTGAGATGGGCACTGAAGCCAAAGGCTCTGCCACATACATCACAGGTGTAAGGCTTCTCCCCAGTATGAATTCGCTTGTGCTGTGTTAGATTTGCCTTCTGGGCAAAGGCTTTCCCGCATTCGCTACATATGTAGGGCTTCTCCCCAGTATGAACTCTCTGGTGAATAGTAAGGCATGAGCCCTGGCTGAAACCTTTTCCACATTCCTGACAAATGTAAGGCTTTTCTCCAGTGTGAACTCTCTGGTGGCGGTTAAGTTCAGCACTAAGGCTAAAGGCTTTCCCACAGTCACCACATTCATAGGGTTTTTCCCCTGTGTGAATTCTGTGATGTTTAGATAGGCATGAGCTCTGACTGAATGTTTTCCCACATTCTTTACACTCAAGAGGTTTCTTTTCAGCATGAATTCTCTGATGCTGAATAAGGTAATTACTCTGGGTAAAGACTCTGTCACACTTGTTACATTTAAAGGGTTTCTCTCCAATGTGAATTAACCGATGTTCTGAGAGGGATGCACGGTGGCTGAAGGTCTTTTCACATTTGTTACATTTAAAGGGGTGCTCGCTTGTGTGAAAAGACTGAAGTTCAATGAGGGAAGTGCTGCTGCTGAATGCTTTCCCATGCTCACCACATTCACGTGGCCCTGCCCTAGAGTGGATTCTTTGATGGTGAACGAGCTGAGCCCTTTGGTCAAAGCCTTGCCCACACTGGTCACACTCAAATGGCTTCATGATAGTGTGAATTTTCTTGTGCTGAATTAGATATCTGCTGTGGCTAAAGGTTTTCTCACATTTCTTACACTTAAAGCGCTTTTCATCAAAACTTAGATGCTCTCTCTGTTCTGTGCTCTGATCCAAGGTCTTCCTATTCACATCAAATTCTTGTTTTTCTCTAGTGTGAATACTCTGGTGGCAATTCAGAGTTGAGATGCAAGTGAAGCGTTCTCCACACTCCTGACATTCATAGGGGGTTTCAACAGTGTGGATTTTCTGGTGTTGCACAAGGTGTTCATTATGACTAAAGGTCTCCTTGCATTCAGAACAGCTGTAGGGCTTTTCTGTGGCATGAATGGACTGATGTCGAATCAGCTGTGAGGGCCGGTTAAAACTCTTGACACACTCCTGACATTTGTGTGGTCTGTAGCCTGAATGAATTCGCTGATGTTCATTAAGGTGAGTGTACCGGCAGAAGGCTTTCCCACACTCACTGCATTTGTAAGGCTTCTCTCCACTGTGAACCCTCTGATGGATCTTTAAGGTAGAAGTATAGCTAAAGAGTTTCCCACATTCATTACACTTATAAGGTTTCTCTCCAGTATGAACAGCCTGGTGTTCAATGAGCAGGGAACTCCGCCTGAAGGCCTTCCCACACTCCTGACACTCCTGATACTCAGAGGTAGTTTTGGCAGCATGAGTTTTCTGATGTTGGATGAAGCGTTTGCTCAAGTTGAAAGTCGCCTGGCATTTGGTACATTCATAGCGTTTTGGAGTATGGATCTTCTGGTGCCGAATAAGATGAAAAGTCTGGCTAAAAGTCCTGTCACAATCATTACATTTATAGGACTTACTAATTATGTGAGTTCTCTGAAATTTAAAAGACCGTTTGCTACAAAGGGACTGCCGGTTTCTGTCTTGACTCTTACGTGGTTTTTCTCTAGTGTGAGTTTTCTGATGCCATAGAAGGTGCGTATTTTGACTAAAAGTTTTCCCACATTCCTTGCACACATAAGATTTGCAGCCTATTTGAGTCACTGGATGAACAAAAAGACAAGAACTCTGGCTGAAACTTCTCTCACACTCTTGATGCACAGTGGGTTTCTCCTTAGTATGACTAATCCAGTGCTGGATAAGATGGTAACTCCCACTAAAGCTTTCTCCACATTCACTACATTTATATGGTTTCTCCCCTCCCTGTACAGAATCCTGCTGACTCTGGTCTGAGTAGTAGCCAAAGTTACTCCTATCTTCGTTAGACTTAGCTGGCGTCAAGGTCTTTTCAGGAAGATCGTGTACCACAGAGTCCTCTCCTGTGGAAAGGAGGGATATAGGACTAAGGCCTCTCTTGAACTCGTGACTACTGCATTCTATGGAACTTTCTTTGGTGGTGGTAACATCACACCTCAGAAGACTTTCTGGATCTTCCAGCAAACTATCTAACCAGCTCTCATCTATACAATCTTCTATAAAATCAGAATTCCAAAGGCCATCCTTGGAAAATGTCTCCATAATCTCTTGGGAGAGTCCTTCTTCCAAGAAATCCTGCTTCAAAGGAGAGTTCTTGGTCTCAACCATGTCTGAAAGAGCAAGAAAGTACAAATGTCTCCCATTCCCAAAAGGGGAAAGATAGGAGCTACAGAGTAAGAACATGGACAACAGAGAGTGGAGTGACTGGTCTTAACTCCAGACTGCCCATCAAGGGGCCCTAAGGTAGCAGTGACCTGTCTGGAAATGGCATCACAGAAAATAGAGAACCCACTCCCAAGAAGGGAGCTGGGAAACCACAGGAGTTTGACAGGGAATGAAAATCTCTACCATTACTTTCACACCTACATGAATAAGTTTCCTAAAAAGTCTCCTGGAATCACCTCTTTCTGCCCTCCCCTCTATTCTACACTGTCACCAAAATCCTGCTCCTCATGCTCTGCATCCTCCATCCTGGAAAAGCCCACCACCAGCTATCCAGTCCTCCATGCCAGAATCCTAGGAATAAACCTCTCCCTCCCTCTACTCAGACACTATTTCCTGTCTGATCTCTTCCAAAATGCCTAAACTACCTTCCTCTCCTCTATTGCCTCCATATGACCTCAGGTTCCTCATTGGCCTCTCCATCCTCTTTCCAGTCTTCCACACAAGTCCTGAAGGGCTTTATAACAAATGGATCTGGCTATATCACTTCCCTGATACAACCCTCCCATGGCTTTTTGCTTGGGGAAGAGAAATGCAGGTGGACTGATTAGCCCAGCATTGTATGTGCACTAGCCCCACAGAACTCTTGTGATTCCCTGAAACTAGAGACTTTCTTGTCTGTGCCTCCTAAGTTAACTCTTCTGTGTCCTTTAATACCCAGGTTGGGTATCATTTTGCTTGAAAGTCTTCTCTGACAATCAACCCTATACCCTTTTCTGCTTTAGGTACACTGCCCTGGTGAGGGTATTCCTGTCTGCCCTGTATTCCCTGAACAACAGCTAAGCACTTACTATCCTTTACTTTAACTGGTTATGAGTAGGTCTGACCCCTGACCAGAAGACAAGCTCTCTGATCAGGACACATCACTGCCTATCTATCTGTCTTCAGTGCCAGCAGACCAGGATTGCCACACAGGAAAGAGTCACAGGACAGTGTAATTCCCATTTATGGCACATTTGTTCATGGGCAGGAGTGCCTCAGTTACATCCCATATCCCACTGTAAGGTGAGCATGCTTCTCCTTTTTTACAGCTAAGTAAGCAGTGGAACAAGGATTTGAACCCATCTGACCACATACTCTTATTTACCAAGCTATGTGTTCTCTGGGATCTTTCACAAAGCATAAATTTCACTGCTCTGTTCTATGCCTTGTCTTCCCTTCTCTCATTCCTTCCCTCCCTCTCCCACCATCATATACCTTTCCAAGCCTGTTCCTTTTCCTGAGATTTCTTGGTTCACTATGTATCTGTGAGACTGCTTAATGTCTCTCAGCTTGGAATCGACACTTGCCTCACAAAACCATGTCATCCTTGCCTCTGCTCTTAGGTCCTATAATATCTGGCTATTTTCCTGATCATACCTTTGTTCATGCTGTTCCCCCCACCTAGAATGCTCTAATAGATATGTAATAGGCACCTCTTATGCATCTCTTAGTAGTAGGAATATAGGGTGAATCAGCTAAGCTCTATTCCCTAGAGAGGGACACTGTTAAGAAGGAAAAAGACGGCTCGGCGCCTATAGCTCAACTGGCTAAGGCGCCAGCCACGTACACCTAAGGTGGCGGGTTTGAATCCCCAGCCCAGACCCACCAAACAACAATGACGGCTGCAACCAAAAAATAGCCGGGTGTTGTGGCGTTGAGGTGGGCGCCTGTGGTCCCAGCTACTTGGGAGGCAGAGGCAGGAGACTCGCTGGAGCCCAGGAGTTGGAGGTTGCTGTGAGCTGTAATGCCACGGCACTCTACCCAGGGGGACAGCTTGAGGCTCTGTCTCCAAAAAAAAAAAAAAAAAAAAGAAGGAGAAAGACAAAAATGAAAACAATGCAATACAAGTGTTACTATGGAAAGTCAATAAAGACATGGCTGCCTGTGTTTGGAAATAGCCAGTATGTTGAGGTAGCAAAAACAGCAATCAGAAGTTGCAGGAGCTTATGCCTAGGTTAGTCACCTACACAGAATACTAATGTGCTGAAGAGGAGGCTACAGAAGGCCCACATTCAAAAGCTCATGGGTGCTAAGTCAAGAAGGGAGCTACAGACTGGCTGAGTAGGGGGGAACCTAAGATGTCTGTGGTATTGGGTTCAGGGCACTCCTTCTCGCATAAAGTAATGAGAGAAGCCCCCTATTCCTAGGCAAGGCAGCTGCCACTGCTTTCTCCTATTTGGGGGAATACCCAGGAAATATTCACTGCCTAATGTGATACACCTAAAGGAACCTTTGCCTAGGAGATGACAGAGTGGAAACTCTTGGTGACATTCAGGCCCAGACTTGAGTTACTACCAGATGTAGCTATATGCTATGCCCTGGCCTATACAAAAGGACATAAAAGGGGTAGACCAGGGTGTTCACATGCTTAGGGAGCACAAAGCAAGAAGGTAGACAGACCAACTCAGGGAGTGGAAGGCCTCCCCTTGCTGAGTCCAGAAGGAAAGAAGAAACACAGGACAGCCCTGTGTTGAATGCACCAGTAGATGGAGATGTAGAGGCCATGCCAGAGTGTGGGACCATCCAAATGTCCCAACCTACACTGAGTCCACAGGGACAAGGGAATGGAAGCTGGCAAATGGTAGTGAAGCCCAAAAGCCAGGTATTGAAACATCTGGGTAGATCTCCTGAAGGGACTGGCCACGGCCTCTAGATGAAGGTCCTAAGGACAGATGATAAACACAGCAGTCCCTACTCCCACAATAGGTGCTGGTGAGAGCCCCTTCCCATTCACTCACCAGGGGCTGTCGCTTCTGGGCTTTCTCTCACCAGGGCCTCCAGCTCTTCCTTGCCACCCAAGTGGGTGGTCAAGTTGGGTCTTGGGGGGTCTGCAGGGAGAGAACAGTACTATTATCCAATCAGGCCTATTGGTAAGGCTTGATTTCGGGAAGTTTCCCAGAATCACCAGAATTGATAAGAGGGGCTCACTGGGCCTAAACTGTACAAACACTGTGGTTTACACTGAGTACCCGCTTCCTTTCTTAGAGTCCAGAATTTTGGTATACATACATGCCAGGCTAAGGTGGACTTATGACCAGGCTTCAGTAAAAACCCTGGTACCACACCAACTCTTTAACAAGCTTCCCTGGTAGATAGCATTTCACACACGTTGTCACACCTCATTGCCAGAGAAATTATGTTTACTCACATCGCTCCACAGAGAGAAATCTGGAAGCTTGTCTGGCTTCCTTGGACTTTATCGCATGTACTTTTTTCCAGGCAGTGACAATCACTAATGTCTCCAGATACTGCCAATACCTTCTCAGCCAGCCAGAACTACTGCGCCAGGTCACGCTGATTCTGAGAAGCTTAGGAACTGAGATTTCATCCTATGGGTGATGGGAAGCATAACTGACATAGCAGGGCAGTGACTGGGGCTCTGAGATGGGTGACACTCACTTAGCAGGAAGAGATTCTGGTAGTTGTCCAGTGCTGTGTCCCAAAACAGGTCCCCCTGGTCTAGGCCCAGCTCCTTCCAATCATCCAAAGTAAAATCCATGGCCACGTCCTTGAGAGTCACAAATTCCTGAAATACAACACATTGTTGGTAACTCAGAGGAACTTACTCAGAATAACCCCAGCCCTCAATTTTCCAGGCTTTTGGCAAAAATCTCAGCCTCACAAGAACCTTGAGATGGAAGGGAACAGAAACTTCCATACTTTGTAAGCAAGGAAACAAAGTCTTGGACAGGGAATAAAACAGACACTCATAGTCATACAAATGCCTGATCCTAAAATTCATGTGTTTCTTGCTTTTGTTTTTTAGTGTTCACTCAAGATTTTAAGTTTTATTTACCATGGAAATTTTCAAACATATATAAATACAGAAATGCATACAATTAACTACCATGGATATATCACCCAGGGATCATCGATTTCACTTGTGACCTACTTCTTAATGAATAGTAACTCCTTAATATCACTGAATACCTAGACCACATTCAAAGTCTACATACAGATTTGTCTGACATCTCATGACAACTTAATGTTGCTTTTTTATAATTAGCTTATTTGAATCAGAACCCAAGGAGGGGGAAAAAAAAAAAAGAACCCAAGGAGACCTATATCCTGCATTCAGCTAATACGACTCTGAACATTTTTAGTCTACAGCTATACTCTTGTAGCTGCTATACACTTATGTGCTCCTGATTTAAGGTCCTAAGTTCTGAATGTGACAAACTCCTTCTTCAAGGTGTCACCGGGGAGCTCCTCAGGCCCCTGCATTTTCCATGAACTGCTTAGCATTTCTAATGCTGAGGCCTAATTTGAGTCAGTAAAGTTTTTTTGGGGGAAGACCCCCTCACAGCTGATGTCATGTCCACTTCAGCTCACATGACTACCTAAGGCTCATATCCACCTACCCAACTTTCAGTGATGCCATCTTTTTCATTTTAAAACTTCCTAGTTAATAAGTGTTTAAAATAAAAATTCAAATACTCACAAAAATGACACAAAACATATACCCCATCTATAGGTGAAACTGTGGTTTCTAGGCATGTCCCTTCTGGACCTCTCCTCCCCCTGCAATGTATACATAGGTACACATTTGCATGCACACACACAGACACGTTTTAGGGAAGAACAGAAATCAACTTTCTTGTCTAGATTTAAGGCTTCACCCCTCTACCTTCCTCTGTGGGTGACTAGTGGTAAGTTGCGCAACCCTTCATTAGCCCTATCTCATCAAGGTTCCCCTAAGAAGCACCTGAGACACTGCTAGGAGGTGAACAAACAGTACCTAGCACATAGGAAGGGCCGGAGAACACACTAATTCTATTCTAGATTATACTGTTTGTCCCAATCCTCCAGGCAGATTATACTGCCTGTCTCAAACCTACCCCAGCCCTCTTATCTCCTTTCCTGCTTTATTTTTTCCATAGTTCTTAATACTGCCTGCATTCTTTGTGATGACTTAAGTATTTTACTGTTAGCATGGGATGAATTGTAACCCTCCAAAAATATATGAAGTCTTAGCCTCCTATATCTCAGAAAGTGCCCTTATTTGGAAATACAGTTTTTACAGAGGTGATAAATTAAGATGAGCTCATTAGTGTGGGCCCCTCCATATGACTGATGCTCTTATAAAAGGGAAAATTCAACACAGAGACAGACACATGCGAAGGGAAGACGATGTGAAGATACAGGAAGAATATCATGTTAAGGTAAAGGCAGAGATCAGGGTGATGCTTCCACAAGCCAAGGAACACTAGAATCACCACTAAACCACCAGAAGCCAGAAGGCAAGGAAGAAATTCTCTCTCACAGCCCTTAGAAGGAACCAGCCTTGCTGATACCTTGATCTCAGACTTCTGGTCTCCAGAACTGTGAAAACAATAAATTTTTGTTGTTCAAGCCACCCATATTGTGGTATGTTGTTACAGCAGCCCTAGCAAATTTATATAGTCACTCCCAATAACATGTGTGTGCTTCATGAGGGCAGAGATCACATAAGTTAATTCCCTAGTCCAGCACCCAGAACAAAACCAATGTAACGTAATCACATAATACTTGCTGAATGAGGCAAGGAAGCCTGTGGTCCTGAGAGTTGTTTTGAAATAAAGGAAGCTCATCAAGGATGGAATCAACACTAGTTGGGACTGGGAGATGGGGACAATGAACTGAGTCCCAATCATACTGGCAGATAAGTCAGCCTAACCTATGGACTTTTGGTTATGTGATATATACAGTCTTCTGACTATTTATCTTGATTTGAGTCAGAGTTTCTGTTATTTATAATTAAAATTACTGCTGTCCTCCCTGTCTAGAAGGATGAGCCAAAGACATTTTTTCAACAGGAACTAGATCAGAGCAGGTCTTGCTGGCTTCCTTCTCTCAGACTCCCAGACTATGCTGGACATGGCCTCTGGTCACAGTGATGGAGTGGAAAGACAGGAGCGCAGACTTGATCCCTCAGGCACCGGGGTGCCACAGAAGAGTTGTCTTGGTTTTTTTTTTTTTTTTTTGAGACAGTCTCATTATGTCACCCTTAGTACAATGCCATGGCATCATAGCTCACAGCAACCTCAAACTCTTGGGTTTAAGCAATTCTCTTGCCTCAGCCTTCCAAGTAGCTGGGACTACACGTGCCCACCAACAATGCCTGGGTATTTTTTTGGTTGTAGTTGTCATTGTTGTTCAGCAGGCCTGGGCTGGGTTTGAACCCGCCTAACCACTGAGTACGGGCAGCAAGTCACCACAGAAGAGTTTTATATAGGAGAGTGACAAGGTTGGAGTGTGTATTGAACAATCATTTCTCCTGTATGTCAGATCACAGTGTGGGTGCTGGGGACACAGGCATGTATCAGACTTGGTCCCTGATCCTGATGAGTACCCACTCTGATGGAGACCTAAGGGATGCTATCAGTGAGCATGAGGCAGTGGGGCTGTGATGGAGGTATCAGAGGCTCAGTGGGTCTGGGAGGTAAGGAGGATGTTGTCCTAGGGATAGAGTAAGCCTCCTATAGAACTTTCAAGTTGGGCGATTAAGATGAGCAGATATTTACTAGGTGGAGAAATGGTTTCACGCATTCATTCATTTACCAAACACCTCAAGAAGCTTCCTGCATGCTGGGCCTGTGCTGAGCCCTAGAACCCACAGATGAATCCCCATCAACACCTCAAGAAGCTTCCTGTATGCTGAGCCTATGCTGGGCCCTAGAACCCACAGATGAATCCCCATCACTTCTGGTCTTTGAGGAATTTCTCTGGTGGGTCCGACAAAAAAATGCAGAGATACCCACATCTAGGTGGCTATGTGCTACAGTAGAGGCAGCCGGGGTACTATGGGACAGCAAAGTGCCAGAGCAGGGAAAAGCTGACTCTGCCTATGAAGGCAGGCTCGGTAGATACTGAGTTGGGTCTCAAAGACCGTGCAAGACATTACCAGACAGAAAAGAAGTGAAGGGTATTCTAGAAGAAGGCATAGACTGAGCAAAGGCCAGGAAACTAGAAAGTACTGTGTAGTATTTTACCACCAAGCCAAAAGCAAGTTATTGGTTGTCTGGGGAAATGACAGATGATGCTGTAGAGGTATACAGGAACAAGCTGAGAAACCTGGAATTTATCACATAAACAACATAGATTTCTGGAAAGGCACCAAGAAAAAGAACAAAAGCAAGAATAACAGCTTTACTTTACAAAGACTGCCCAAGGGACAGCAAACCCAAACAAACAAAGGCCAGTTTTCCTGCCTTTAGGGGTAATCCATTAAGATGAAGGGGACACTTAACTCACCTCAGCCATGGCTGAGCCGACTGGGTCCCAATGGCTTTCTTTAAGCTCCTCCTCTTTCCCCTGCATGTTCTTGGCTGGCAGTGTTGCAGGAAGGACCAGTCTCCCTTCCTCCTATAGCTGACTCCCTCTCCATGGTGGATGAGTGCTCAGAATATCCAGAAGTAGGAGGATGAGTCCCAATGTGAGTCTCCCTGCAGGAATCACAGCAACAACTGTATTTACTAAAACTCACATTTCCACTGTGCTTCAGTACCTCGAAGTAACTCTGATACCACTCTTCTCACTCAACAGTCAATAAATAATACATGTTTGAGAGATTTGGTGATGAAAGCCTATCACCTCAGCAGGAACTTCCATCTTACTGCTATCTTAACAGTATATGGTGGATGCTTCTTAAATATTTGTCGACAGAACAAATTTGTCTCTCTAACTAAACAAAAGGGACAGTGCTTCTGAGATTTCTGATTATCATCTCTAGGATCTGAATCCAGGTAGTCAGTCTCCAAAATTGTCTTCCATAACAATATTTCTTAATCTTTTAACCTTGATCCACAGTAAAGAAGACAATACATATCATGACTATGCATACACATAGTAACTAAACAAAAGCTTCAAGAGCAATATTTACAACATAGGATTATTGGGATATTTTCTATTCTAGCCTCTTTTATTCTACTTCATTTTATTTTATATTTTTATTTAATTTTTTTTTGAGGTAACATAGTGTCATAACTCTTGAGCTTATGTGATTCTTTTGCCTCAGCCTCCCAAGTAGCTGGGATTACTGGTGCCCACCACAATGCCCCGCTATTTTTTGTTGTTGTTGTCATTGTTGTTTAGCAGGCCCAGCCAGGTTCAAAGCCACCAGCCCCAGTGCATGTGGCTGGCGCCCTAACCACAGAGCGAGGGGAGCCAAGCCATGCATATTCTATTTCATTTTTAAAAAATTATGGTTACGGCCCACTCAGTTATTTTCATGACCAATAATAAGCAAAACATTATTCCATAGGGTTTTCTCTTTTTTTGTAGAGACAGTCTCATTTTATTGCCCTCAGTAGAGTGCTGTGGCATCTCCCAGCTCACTGCAACCTCCAACTCCTGGGCTTAGGAAATTCTCCTGCCTCAGCCTCCCAAGGAGCTGGGACTATAGGCGCCCGCCACAATGCCCAGCTATTTTTTTGTTGCAGTTTGGCCAGGGCCGGGTTTGAACATGCCACCCTCGGTATACGGGGCCGGCGCCCTCCTCACTGAGCCACAGGCACTGCCCCATTCCATAGGGTTTTTTACACATTATCCATGTTGTATTTCCAAATAGTATATACATTGATGGAGTGCTTTCACTCCATGTCACAAAGCAGCACGATGACTTAACAATGGCACAGGCCCACAAGTCCTTAAAACTTAGGCCAGACGTACTTTAAAATTCAGAAATTTTCAGATATTAAAAAGATGATGCAGAATATATTTAGCATATTTCATTAAAATTCCAGCATGGTATAGAATAGACAGCACTGCCTTATCAAATACTTAACATTCTATAGAGAAAGATATATTCATTCTAGGTTCATGACTATAATCCCAAAATTTTGGGAGGCTAAGGCAGGAGGAATGTTTGAGACCATTCTGAGCCACATAACAAGACTCTGTCTCTACGCAACTAGAAAAATTAGCCAGGCATGATGACATATGTCTATTGTCTCAGCTACCTGGGAGGCTAAGGCAAGGTGATGGTCTGAGGTTGCTGTGATCCATAATGTTGCCACTGCACTCTAGCCCAGGCAACAGAATGAGACCGCGTCTCAAATAAATAAATGAATGAATAAATATTCATTGTAGGTTTAAGTCATTAAGGGTTATTAAGTGCTGTGTAGCAGTTCAGGTCAGCTACAGATACCAACCAAATTTATGAAAAAAAAGTTGTTCTCCATAGCCGGGGATTGTGGCAAGTGCCTATAGTCCCAGCTACTCAGGAGGCTGAGGCAATAGGATCACATGAGCTCAAGAGTTTGAGGTTGCTGTGAGCTATGAGGCCATGGCACTCTACCGAGAGCAACAAAGTGAGACTCTATCTCAAAAAAAAACTTAGGGCGATGCCTGTGGCTCAGTGAGTAGGGTGCCAGCCCCATATACTGAGGATGGCAGGTTCAAGCCCGGCCCAGCTAAACTGCAACAAAAAATAGCCAGGCGTTGTGGCGGGCGCCTGTCCTTCCAGCTACTTGGGAGGCTGAGGCAAGAGAATCACCTAAGCCCAAGAGTTGGAGGTTGCTGTGAGCTGTGTGACACCACAGCACTCTACCTAGGGTAACAGAGCAAGACTCTGTCTCTGTTTAAAAAAAAAAAAAAAACTTAGCCTTTTGGAGCTTCCTAGATTTTGTGGCTGCAGGTTAAGAATTTTTTTTTTTTTTTGAGAGAGTCTCACTCTCTACCCAGGGTGACATAGTAACACTCTGCCACTCTGTCCACTTTTAAGGACTTGTGGGCCTGTGTCATTCTCACTGGTGAGAGAATGTTTTCCAAGAAAATTCTTTAAGTAGTCCTAAACTTGAAAATTGGGAAATTTCAACTAAAAACTAGATTTCCAGCTTCTGAAAAACCCCAGGATTTTACAACACTGGGTCAGTATTTCCACAAAATTAATTTCACTGCAGCCCTTTTAAAGCCCCCCCTTTAGATGGGGAAAGGGTTCCCCAACATCCCCCAGCCTCACCCGAGCAGGTTCTCTCCTTTATTCTATCTGCTTGGCCCTCACGCCTGAATTTGAGGCCTCTGTCTAAAGTTTCCAACTCCCATTCTGTCTGCATCTCATGCAGGCCTCAGACCTGGGAGGAAAGAAACAGGGGCCCTATTTGGGGAAGCCCAAAGCCATCCAGCCTGTGAGGGTGACTTAAGCCAAACAATTACGGAGCTGGAAATCCTTGGGCACGGGAGCCTTGCTGCTTGTTGGTTGGAACCAAGGCCAGACCGTTTACCTTCTCCGAGCCTCAGTTTCCACACATACAAAACAGGGCAAATATGGCTCGGCGCCTGTAGCTCAAGCAGCTAAGGCACCAGCCACATACACCAGAGCTAGTGGGTTCGAATCCAGCCCGGCCTGCCACACAACAATGACAACTACAACCAAAAAAACAGGCGGGCGTTGAGTGGCAGGCGCCTGTAGTCCCAGCTTGGGAGGCTGAGGCAAGAGAAACACTTAAACCCAGGAGTTGGAGATTGTTGTGAGCTGTGATGCCACGGTATTCTCAGATACCTCAGATACCCAGGACGGCAGCTTGAGGCTCTGTCTCAAAAGAAAAAAAAAAAAAAAAAACAGGGCAGGTCCACAGTCCGTTATATACAATCTCCCAAACCAAAAGGCTCAGAAAACCGAAACTCTGTATTTGGTGTGCGTGGGGCGTGCAGCTTTTGGGGGGGGCGGGGCTGGGTTTGAACCCGCCACCTCCAGTATATGGGGCCTGCGCCCCACTCCTTTTGAGCCACAGGCGCCGCCTGGAACTCTGTTAGAAACTGCCTATGAGGACTACTGGGCTGTGAACAAGAGTTTAAGCCCTCACTAAACCCACCACCACCCAAGGCGAAGCGCCGTTTGCCAAAGTCTCCGCATTAGCATTCTGTTAATCCCCTAGCTAGGGCCGAGCCCGAAAGCCTCCAGGGTCTCCTTACCTCGAGATTATCATAGATAGAGTTAACAGACGCGACCCCTTCCCATCCGAAGGAGCTGGTGATCCAACTCCTCTCCCACGCGCCTCCTCTCAGCAACTTCCGGAGTCACGCGATTCTACTCAGAGCTACTCCACCCAGGATCCTCCGCGCCAGAGCCAGGCTATATTTCCCAGAGGACTGTGCGGACGCCTTGCCTTCTCATATCCATCCGCTTCATCCCTAGAGACTGCAATGCTGCGCTCTAAGGGGGTAGAGTAGAAACAGAATCAAGACCAGGTGACTTCAGTGTTTTGTAGTCCAACTTTGAAAGGACCATCTAATCAACTTTCTCCTGCGTTTCCTAGAAGACTGGGAGGCTTTTCCATTTCCGGAGGAGCCAAGACGCAAGTTGCCATTGAAATGGGTTTAGAAAGACGTTGGGATTCCGGAGAAGACGAGCGGAAGGGGCGGAGTTGAGGAAGAAGTGATAATGTAACTTCTGATTGGTGGAGAAATGACCTGCCGTTCATTCCAATTGGTTTCATATTGGCACATGCGCAGTAGAACCAGGAAGCAGCATTCTAACTAGAGTGGAAAGGGGGTGTTTGATGAGGAAGTAATCCCAACCGGGGAACAGGCCTGCCGCAAAGGCGTCTGGGAAATGGAGTTCTTAGGCACAGCACAGGGACCCATCGGGAAGTCAGCGGCGCCTGCGCGGGCGAGTCCGGCCTCAGGGCCAGGATGCGCGCGCAGCACTTTCCACCCAGCGGAAGTTTCCGTGGGGCTGACGAGAGGGTAAGTTACGGTAACTGCAGAAGACTTAGGGGTCTAGCCGCAGGAACCCAGATCTCCACCCCTGAAATCCAGAACCCCATCCCTCTCAGTTACAGAGGTGAGTGGAAGGCGAGGCGAAGCAGTAGGAAATATGCCAGTTTCCTAGCCGCAGCTTGTTTGTGGTGCTTGTGACGTCAGTTCGACCCTTTGTGGAGGCAGAGGCCAGGCTGGCTGGGGTCGGGATGAGAGCGTCTCCTGGTTGGTGGGATCACCGGCCAACCCTTGCGTGTCTCCAGACGCTTTTGGCTCTAGGTCTGCTGGGTGTGGCATGTAGAGTTTTGGGGGCGTTTGAAAGACGCTCCGCCTTGGTAGCTCTGTTGTTCCTAGTTTCTGTAAGGGGCGGGGCCAAAGAGTCAGTCGCCCTGGCAACCGCGGCTCCTGCGCAAAGGTGGGGTCTAGTTCCTCTAGAGATGTTATCTCCGGAAGTTTTTAGGAGAAGCTCAATACGGAAGTTGACGCACGGCAGATGTTCAGTAAATATTTGCTGAATAAGTAAAATAAATGGATGAACAAACAACAAAGACTAGCTTGAGGGTTGGAGCCTTGGGTTTGAAGTCCTGAACTAGCCACCTGACCTTGGATAGGTGACCTAAGCATTCTGAAATGCTCTTCTTTCTTTCATCCATGTTTATTAGAGTATTTACTACACATAAGGCTTTGTGCAACAGACACAGCTATTTATTCTATGTTGAAGTGCTTACTCTGATAGGAAGAATTCTAAGCTTAGGTTCTAATGATATCTAAAACAAAATCCTGCCCAATTAGTTTACATTTTAATGGTGGTTGGGGATGCCAGTGACTAACAAAATAAAATGAATTGTACAATATTTACAGGTCCACAACCTCTGATCTAAAGTCTAAAAAGGATGATCGCATGGCTTATGCCTGTGATCCCAAAACTCTGGGAGGCTGGTGGATGGATCTCTAGACCTAACGAGTTCAAGACCAGCCTGAGCAAGAGTGAGACACCCCCCCAATCCCCTCCCCCCTGTCTCTAAAAAATAGCTGAGCGTTGAGCGGAGTGGTGGCGCCTGTAGTCCCAGCTACTTGGGAGACATGCAAGAGAATTGCATGACCCCAGGAGTTTGAGATTGCTATGAGCAACGATGCCATGGCATTCTAACAGGCAAGAAAGTAAGACTCTTTCTGAAACTAAATTAAAAAACAAAATCTTTTTAAAGGCCAAAAAGTTGTGAAAACCGAAGAGTTTTTCTTCTGTTTTTCAACTTACTTAGTCACCCGACCTGATTTGGCTTTGAACTTGTTTGCTGGGAACAACCAATCTGAACTGATATGTGGCTATTAATAATCTTTAAAGATCTTTCTGCTGTAATCATTAGGGGATTACCCCTAGATCCTGGTAGTGGTGCAGTATGTACTATGTTCTAAAATCTAAAAATTTTCAAAATTCTGGATTTTGAAACACCTGGCACCAGGTGATTAGAATAAGAAATTTTGAATCTATATTAGAAGGCATTAAGTGCTAAGGAGAAGAATCAAAGAGGAAAGGGGGAGGGACACGGGATGCAATTTATAAAAGGTGGTCAGGGAAGAACTCAGGCTGAGACCTGAAGAATGAAAAAGGAACCAACCACAAAAGTGGTGAAAAGAGCAATACTGGCAAAGGGAAATGTATATGGAAAGGTTCTGCAGTAGGAATTAACTGGCCTCAAGATTATATGGCTAGAAATTAGTGAAACACAATTATTAGAAGAGCTAATATATCAGATATACAATATGTGTCAGGTACCTGCTGTTCTCAGTTTAAAAATTGAGGAACAAGTACAGACATGTTAAAAGGATTTTGCTCAGCATCATTCAAACAGTAAGTGGCAGAAACAGGACCCAAATCCAGGCAGATGACATTCCAAGTCTATTAACCCCTATTCAGCTCTGCTTCTTTTTTTTTGAGACAGTCTCTCTGTCATCCTCGGTAGAGTACCCTGGCGTCATAGCTCACAGCAACCTCAAACTCTTGGGCTCAAGGGGTTCTCTTGCCTCAGCCTCCCGGGTAGCTGGCACTGCAGGCACGTGCCACAATGCCCGGCTATATTTAAAGACAGAGTCTTGCTCTTGCTCAGGCTGATTTCAAACCTATGAGATCAGGCATTCCTCCTCGGCCTCCCAGAGTGCTGGGATTACAGGCCTGAGCCGCTGTGCCCAGCCTGCTCTGCTTCTAAATGGCAGACCTTTTTTAAAGACTAGCCAGCTAAATAATTCTGATTCTGAGCATTGACTTTTTGGCTCACAGTTTGCTTGTAGGATGAGTATGTGGTAACACAGCTTGGTAAGTTTCTGCAGAGGAGACAATCATTGATTCACACAGCAGACACAGATCAAGCATTTGCTCTGTACCCAGCCTATTCAAGGCTCTGTGCATAATGTGGAGAACAAGGTAGACAAAAGTCCCTGCCATCGTGAAGATTACATTCTAGTCAAGGGAGTCAGTGTTAAACAAGTTAAAATATGTCACATGGTTGGCTCAGTGCCTGTAGCTCAGTGAGTAGGGTGCTCATAGATTATACCTACCAAGAACTTAGCACAATGATCTGTATGTATTGAACCCTCTTGAAATGGGAGCTGTGGTTAAGTGACTTAACCTCTCCATGCTGCAGGGAACTACCCATTCCAGTTACTACATCTACAGAACAAATTATCCCAGAATTCAGTGCTGTAAAATAGCCATGTGTCATGCTCATGGATTCATTGGGCCAGGAATTCAGAGAGAGTAGAGCAGGGGTGGGTGGTTTCTGTTTCATGTTGACTAGGGCCTCAGGAGGAAGATTCAAAGATTGATGTTTGAGTCACATGAAAACTTGCTTACTCACATAGCAGCAGATGCTGGCTGGGGGTGGGGAAGGCCTCACTTCCTCTCCACTTGGGACTCCCCATGGAGTCTCTCTGCCTGGGCTATTTTAGTCTGCCTCACAACATGGAAAGTGGGTTCCACTTGTGAGCAGCCTTAGTGAACCAGCAACATGCAAATTGTAACCTTTTTATGATCTAGCCTTGGAAGTCTCGTGGCATCACTTCTGCCAGCCTTCTCTATTAGTAGGAATAACACAAGCTTTACCCAGGTCCAAAAGGGAGGGACCAGAAACACTGCTCTTAGTAGGAGGAGTTTCAAGGTTTCCATGAGCACACAAGACTGGGAATATTGCTATAGCCCTCTTTGTAAATGCAAATGCCACACTGTCCTATTAAATGATGATAATTCTGGAACCTACATCTTGGCCTGTCATGTAGATTAAGTAAAATAATACATAGAAAGCTCTCTGGCCAGGCATGGGGGCTCACACCTGTAATTCCAGCACTCTGAGAGATTGAGGTGGACGGATTGCCTGAGCTCACAAGTTTGAGACCAGCCTGAGCTTGAGCGAGACCCCATCTCTAAAAATAGCCGGGCATTGAGGCAGGTGCCTGTAGTCCCAGCTACTTAGGAGACTGAGGCAAGAGAATCGCTTAAGCCCAGGAGTTTGAGGCTGCTGTGAGCTATGACACCACGGCTCTACCAAAGGCAACAAAGTGAGACTCTGTACAAAATAAAATAAGCTCTCTGCCTGGGGGACTCCTCCCCAGATATCAGATATCATGACACTCCCTTGTTCTCTTTGGGTTTCTGTTCAAATGTCTCCACCTGGGTGAAACATTTGACATCCTTGGCCACCCTTTGTAAATAGTGACTCACCAACTTCCTCGGCATTCTATTCTCTATGGCACCATCTCCATCTGACCCATTCAGCAGTTATTTGCTTATTTATTTATCAGATTCTTCCCCTACCAGAAGGTAATCTTCCTGGAATCATGGGCTGTTTGCTTTGCGGCTGTCTTCCCAGTGGCTGGCACAAACTAAGAGCTCACTGAATGAATGAATGAATGAGCAAATGAATGGATTTAGCACATGCTGGCCATGTGGCCAGTGCTCAGCAAACATTAGCTATTGTCTTTCATTTATATGTGAAGGAGGCATGAGTTTGCTTGGCTACCTTTGTTTACTTGCAGATTGCTGTCAAGATGAAGTTTCCAGCCCAGTGAATCCAAAGGCCAGACTGTGTCCCCATAAAGGTACTATTCCCTTGTGCACATGTCATGTAAGGCCTGTTCCTCGCCAACAGCTGGCTCCTGCTCATGGAGACTTAATGCTGCTGGCAGACTTCATTCTCAGGAGGAATTTTGTTGTGAGCTTAGCAGAGTTTACCTGATAAGGCACTTGTTCCATCCAGGAAACCATCTTTAACTAAAGGCAATGAGCACCTGGGGAAATTCTGCTTAACTTGAAGCCACTTAAAACCACCATGGATTTCCAAACTAACCTTTTGTTTACATAAGAAATTTAGCAGAGTCTAGATATACCATGTATTAGACTAGACCATGGTAACAAACAAAGCCCAAACCTCAGTGGTTTAACACAAACACTTGTTCTTTCTCACTAATACAAAGTAACTCTCCTGGGCAGCCATCCTCAGTTTTGATCTTGTGGCTACAATATCAACACCTGGCTTCAGGTTTGTGGCTGCCTGAAAAAAGAAGAGACAGTAAGTCCTTTGGCTTAACAAAAATGCTCACCAGGATTTATACCTTTGAGAAGACAGAGGTGTCCATTTATATGTTATTACCAAGACAGCAGATCACTAAGATAGAGTGACAGACCTCCCACAGGGTAAAGGATACTTGCCAACAGGATACTTTTCAGCCCACCTACCTTTTTTTTTTTTTTTTTTGAGTCAGAGTCTCAAGCCATTGCCCTGGGGTAGAGTGCCATGGCATCATAGCTCACAGCAACCTCCAACTCTTGGGCTCAAGTGAGCCTCTTGCCTCAGTTTTCCTATTTTTTTAGTAGCGATAAGGGTCTTGCTTTTTGCTCAGGCAGGTCTCAAACCAGTGAACTCAAGCTATTACCTGCCTTGGCCTCTCAGAGTGCTAGGATTACAGGTGTGAGCCACTGTGCCTGGCCTTAGCCCACCTATCTTGCACAACTCCTTTGTTTGAAAGAACAGAGACTGCCGCTTTATGCCACAGTGTAGTTTCTGCCATTCTGCAGCCCAAGGGAAAAAGAGAACACCTTTCTCCTCCTCTGACTGAGATTTCTTCCCTAGCTACTTGGATGGCCTGTGATTTTCAAGGGCAAGTACTGAGTTTCATAAGTCAAGCACCAAGAGAAAACAAGCCCAAGAAGTTCAGAACTGATGATGTGGAAAGAGGAAAGGGAATAATATATATTAATAACTGGAATAGAATAGCTGGGATACAGGGCAGGACATAGTAACCACTAACATGAAATGCTGTCTGTAGGCCAGGTTCTTTTCTTAGCACTTGACATAAATATATTTGTTTAGTCTTTTTTTTTTTTTTTTTGAGACAGAGCCTCAAGCTGTCCCCCTGGGTAGAGTGCCGTGGCATTACAGCTCACAGCAACCTCCAACTCCTGGGCTCAAGCGAGTCTCCTGCCTCCGCCTCCCAAGTAGCTAGGACCACAGGCGCCCGCCACAGCGCCCGGCTGTTTTTTGGTTACAGCCGTCATTGTTGTTTTGGTGGGTCCGGGCTGGGGATTTGAACCCGCCACCTTAGGTGTACGTGGCTGGCGCCTTAGCCGGTTGAGCTATAGACACCAAGCCTATTTGTTTAGTCTTCAACAACCATTCCATCAGATAGGTACTACGTAAAGCCCCATTTTACCACTGGTCAGACTGAGGCAAAAGAAGTTAAGTAACTTGCCTAAAACATAGTAGATCTGGAATTCAAGTCCAGCAGCTTTAGGACTAAGCCTATGGTAAGGACTCCACTGTTTGAAGTTGCAACAGAGGCTGACCTTTACAGTGAATGAAGGGAAAGGGTTTAATGAGCACTTTCTCTCCAAGGTGAAATAAAGTCATGAGCATATGTTTATTTTGACTTTTTTTTTTTTTTAATATTTTAGCTTTTAAGGGATACTCTGCAGGAAGTCTTAGAATATAAGGACAAAATCTTTTTGTTGCTGTTATATAGAAGGTATTATTTGGAGTGTTTATTGTACCCTTGTTGATTTTCTCTTAACTGGCCTAATGCTGCCATATCCCCATTTGTCACAGGCTCTGTCTGTAACTTGGATTTTTTTTAAGTATTAGGAAATATTTCTGAGGATAATGTAGGGGCACTTATTGTCCCACTAAGTCAGGATAGGATAGGCTTTGCTGCAGTGACAAATAAACCCTGAAATCTTGGTGGACTAATATGACAGAAATGCATGTTGGGCATGGGGTTCCAGTGTGGATCAGGCAACCCTCCTTCATCTTGGTGTTCTGTCACCTGTGAGATGTGGTCCCCAGGACATCCCTGCAGATGGAGGGTAGACAGAGGATGTGCTCTGACCTTTAACTGTTTGATCCAAGAGATGACTTCTACTTATATCTCATTGGCCAGATCTAGTCATGTGGTCCCAACTTGGCTGCAAGGAATGCAGGGAAGTACAGGGGAGCATATGGATATTTGGGGTGCATTCACCACCTCTCCCATTCTAATCAGATGGTTTAAGGGAACATCACAACCATTGAAGACCCTGACAGTGACTCCTCAACACCTGTTCTGTGATTGGAGCAGTTCTGTGATTGCTTTCTCTGATCTCAAGTCATGCAGTTTCACTTTGTATTTGTTTTGCTCTGAGCCTCTGGACCATTACAGTGGGACAGATGGCTAGAGGCCCAACTCAATGGGCAAGAATTCTGGAGTACCCCTTAAAAGTGGCCACTTTAGGGAGTACATTCATGTTGTGATAATATTTCTTCGCCTTATAACCTCATCACCATAGAGAACTCAGATGACTACTCATGGGTAGTGCATTAGGTTTTTCCTTCAGCTTCCTGTCTTCCCTACCCCCAATTCTGTTTTGTAGCATGATCTCCTTCTGTCCAGACTGTGGCAAAAGTATAGAAGCAGCATTCAAATTCTGCCCCTACTGTGGAAAACCATTGCCTACAGAGGAGGGCACAGGGTCCCAGACCTTTGTCAAACCACGTGTGTCATCTTTCCGAGGTAAGAAAAGGGTTTTGTTTTGTTTTTTTGGTTTGAGCATCATAACTGACAGCAACCTCAAACTCTTGGTCTCAAGTGATCCTCTGCCTCAGCTTCCCAGGTAGCCGAAATTATACGCGCCTACTATAGCACCTGGCTATTTTTTAGAGAGAGGGTCTTGAACTCCAGAGTGCAAGTGATCCACCTGCTTTGGCCTCTCAGAGTGCTAGGATTACAAGTGTGAGCCTAAGAACAAGGTTTTGAACTTATCCCTACAGTGGGGGTGAGGTACACACTTGGATGTGGGGGTAAGGTAGGGGAAGAGAGAACACCTTTGTAGCTTGTCTGACACTGTCCTACACTGGAGAAGCCCAGGGCTCAGGCCCAGACTGCTCTATCTACATTCAGCAGTTCTGTGATTGCTTTCTCTGACCTCAAGGCATGCAGTTTCACTTTGTATTTGTTTTGCTCTGAGCCTCTGGGCCATTAGTTGGTTCATAGCTTTAAATATTGTCTCTATATTGACAACTCACACATTTTTATCTCCAACCTAGACTCCTCCCCTCCTTTGAAGAAATATATAAATAGTAGGCTGCCTGCTTGACATCTGCAGGTTAACTATCTCTTATCCTAAATGCTTGGTACCAGAAGTATTTCGGATTCCAGATTGTTAGAGTTATTTTGGAATATTTGCATTATGCTTACTGGTTGAACATTCCAAATCTGAAAATTCAAAATCTGAAATGCTCCAGTAAACATTTCCTCTGAGTATCATGTTGGTGCTGAAAACATTTCAGATTTTGGAGTTTCAGATTTGAGATATTCAACCTGCTTGGATGTCCAGTATACATCTCAATCTGAACATGCCTAGAAACATGACCTCTTGGTATTGTTACTCCTCATTTACCCCCTTCTTTATGCTTCTCCATCAAAGTAAACAGCAACTCCATTTATCCAGTTTCTCAGGCCAGGACCTTGGGGTCACGACCCTTGAGTCCTCTTTCTTTCCTGCTTCACATACATCCAGCCTTTCAGCAAATCTTGTTGGCTCTCCCTGTAAAGTCAGTGCAGTCTTCTTCATGTGGCAGCCAAAGGGGATACTGTTAATGTGAAGTCAGAACCTGTCATTCCTTTGCTCATACCTTTTTACATGAACCCCCACGTGATTGGGTCCCCGTTTCCTCTTGGACTTCACCTTCCAACCCTTCCTGCTGTTGCTTATGCTGTCTAGCTGTGCTGGCCTCACCTCTGTTCCTTAGTACCTCAGATACACATGGGCCTCTGAGCCCTTGCTCTTGGTTCAGTGTGCCTAATGTTAGATAAAATATAAAAATGTCCGTGGTAGGGCTGTGTGGTAGGAAAGTAAGGGAGTTCCATGGAAGTGAGAAACAGTAAGAAAACATAGATCCATAGGACTAAGCAAGTGTTGAAGTATTATTTGTCCTGAGACTATTTGATGGTGGCCTCAAGCCTGGGTTTCACTGGAGTACAAAAGGCAAAACTAAGCAGTGCAAGTGAGATTGGAAACCCACCTCTTAAATCTGGGATACCTCAGTTGGTAAACTAGAATAAAACAATTGCTCCACAGAAAAAATTCATCTGTCTCAGCCTTGGTGTTGAGCAAAAAAGGAAGGAATGTCTTCTCCAAGTATTCCTAACCAAACACGTACCGGTTGGAATGAATCTATACTGATCTGTGTGGCCTCCCCAAAATATAAACTGAACATTTAATTTTAAAAAGTGATTGAGATATGGATATCACCTTCCCCCACCATCCAACATAAACAAATTTTATTTTATTTTCAAAAACACTCTTGAAAAGTAGACCTCAAAGAATTCCTATAGGTAAACATCCAAGGAACATGAGTCCCAGTCTTTGTTGTCTTAAAAAGACACAAGGAAATAAGCCATCATAAGAGTCAACAGAAACAACAAACTACAGAATCAGACTGGCAAAGACCACAGATCTTAGAATTAACAGATAAAAATATTTATAATGAGGCAGGCGTAGTGGCTTATGCCTATAATCCTAGCACTCTGGGAGGCCACGGTGGGTGGTTTGCCTGAGCTCAGGAGTTGAAGATCAGCCTGAGCAAGAGTAAGACTCCATCTCTAGAATTAGCCAGACATCATGGCAAGTACTTATAGTCCCAGCTACTCGGGAGGCTGAGGCAAGAGGATCACTTGAGCTCAAGAGTCTGAGGTTGCCGTGAGCTATGACATCACAGCACTCTACTAAGGGCAACAAAGTGAGACTCTGTCTGAAAAAAAAAGAATATAATGTACGTTTAATATTTTTAAAGAAATAAAAGAATAAATTGAAAGTATAATGAAGGAACAGAAATTATTTAGAATTAACCAGGCAGATTTTAGGAGGAACCAAATAAAACCCTTAATGATGTAAATATAAATACATCATCTTTGCAATCGGAAAGTCCGTGGATGGGGTCAGTGCACTCACTCATGTTTTTAATATCAGCACTTTGGGGCCAAGCCAAAAGGATTTCTAGGAGTTTGAGACCAGCCTGGGCAATATAGTGAGACCCTGTCTCTACAAAAAAGTAAGAAAAATTAGCCAGCTGTGGTGGCTCACGCTTTTAGTTCCAGCTACTCAGTAGACTAAGGCTAAAGGATCACTTGAACCCAGAAGAGTTTAAGGCTGCAATAAACTGTTATTAGGCCACTGTACTCCAACCTGGATGACAGAGTAAGACCCTGTCTCTGGAAAAACACACACATACATACAGTGTGTGTATGAGTGTATACACATACATTGTGTGTACACAGTGTAATGGAATATTTAAAAGAGGCTAAGATCTATGGAAGAGAGAATAACTAAAAGGAACAGTTTGCTTAGATACGTAGATGACAGAAACAAGAATTTGCTGTGAATGCCAAAGGGAAGAGTGTAGCTGAATATGACCTCAGGGTTTTTGGTTTGGTGATGTGTGGAAAAGGCCATGGTAATTCCAGTCTGTGTTTGATCTACCTTTTCCCAGGCTCCAGGAAAGAGCTGAACTCCAGTTCTGAAACTTCTCCCAAGAGAGTGAAATGGTCCAACGCCATTACTTCACCCCGATTATCCTTCTCAGATGGTGATAGTTCTGGGTCTGAAGATACCTCAACTCCTTCTGAGCGATCCAGAGGTAAAGAGTTAGCATCAGTCTGGCCTGACTGTAGATAGGGCAAAGGCAGGTCATCTGACAAAGTTTGGAAGAAAGCTGCTGCAGCCCCAGCTCAAACTTCAGGCACCCCTCCTGGACCCTCATTTCAGCATCTTACCCAGCCTCTAGTCTCTCCCTCCAGCCCATTTCTAAATGGCCCCAGAGAAGTCTTTCTATACCTTACAGCTGCCATGATCCCTCCCTGCTCATAGCCCCCTATTGCTACTGTCACCCACAATCCAAGCTCTTCAGCCCAACATCTGCATGGTCTGATTCCTGCTTTAGCTCTCAGCACAGCTCTATTCACAGAAAACTCAGTTTTGGAGATGTTTAGGCCCTGGTCTTTACTAAGTTATTCGCTTGGATCAGGATACTCCCACCTTCTTCCTTGGCCTTGCATGTTGTCCTGTTCCCAACACTTAGAGGGTTTGATTTCTAAGAAGTATTTCCTAAATGCTTTAGGGTCACATCAAGACCTTCTCATTGCTGCCAGTGCCTCTCTTCAACCTCTTTATCTGGCCCATTGCTCTGCCCTCATTTTGACTCCATGTCCCTTTTGATCTCACTCTTTGGATTGAGAGTCCTTTATAGGCTCAGTCCAAACCAGTGCCCAGGATGTGGGAAGCTTGAAGACTGTGTGCTTATCAGACTATGAGGGCTCCCCTTTGTCACTTGTTATCCTCTGGCACCAGAGGCCTCTTGCCAATATGTGTCTTGGGAGGATGGAGGGTGGCAGGAACAAGGTTGGGGATGTCATCTGTTCCTGTATCCAAATCTGTTTCCTATCTACGCACCCCACTCTTTTGCCCGTCTGGGATTCCCCCTCCCCCCCCTTTTTTTTTGCCCTTTTTTTGGCCGGGGCTGGGTTTGAACTCATCACCTCTGGCATATGGGACTAGAGCCCTACCCTTTTGAGCCACAGACACCACCTCATGGGATCCCTTTAAGGACAGGACTTTAATCTAAAAAATTTCTGCACTCTCTTTAATCTCAGCACAGGGTCGAGTCCAATTTTGGGGTAAATGCCTGGAATATCCTTTTTCCCCTGGCAAACTTCTAACAAGATCCAATGCCAATGTGCCCTCCTCCAGGAGGCCTCCGTGACATCTCCAGGCCCAGTCAATCTCCTCCTTACTACCCTGTCTCAGATTCAGTTCTGACTGATGGTATCTAGGTCAGACTTCCCCACCAAACTGGGGGCTCCCAAGGTACCAGTGCAGGACTGACTTATATATGGCTCCCCAGCATCATTACACAGAGGACCTGACCCATGAAGGTCCCAGGAAGTGTTTGCTGAAGGGAGGGAGGGAGGGTATTATGGGTGTTATTCCATTCTCCATCCAACTTTTCTTAACTGGATTCTGCTTTTTCTTTATTTTGACCATCTTCCTACAGGGTCCTGGAGGAAGCCTCCAACTCCCAAAAGCAGCCCACAAACAACCAGGCGAAGCCCTCAGACACTGAGGCGGAGCCGGGTGACCACCTCACTTGAGGCTTTGCCCACAGGAATGGTGCTGACAGACAAGAGTGGGCAACAATGGAAGCTGGGATGCCTCCAGACCAGGGATGACCAGGGCATTCTCTATGAAGGTACACTCTGGCCATGAATGGGCTATTTCAGCACTAGGATGGGGGAAAGGGAACCCCTTCCTGAGACTGGGAATGGAAGCCATATCCCTAGCTGCAGGCTTCTAGGCTGCTTTCTCTTAGACTCAGGACTGTAAACTACCCACTTACAGGGGCCAGGCAAGTGGTATAACTGAGCTTAGGGGGCTGGAGTACAGCAATGTGGAGGGAAGGGTGCCACCAGCTGGAAAGCGTGTGCCTCCTCACCTCCACCCACTGTCATGTGATCAGGACGACAGATCAGCCTGCAGAGATAAGTGGACCCTCACCCTAACTTTGGTTCAGATGTTGAGACTGATGATGTCACACATACACCAGGAGGATATGAGAGGTTTATTCCTTATATCACTGGAGTCTACAGAGAGCCAGGTGGGCCATCCACATAGATCTAAAGTGCCTTCAGAGAGTAAAGAAAGGAGACCGGTTGGGGGCTTTGTTGTGGTTAGGGATGTGGCTCGGTGAGGGGGCCTGGGCTAACGCCCCACCAGCACCAAAGCTATTGAGTCTTCCACCAGCACCAAAGCTATTAATAACTAACTGAGGGAAAAGCCAGAAACCAAATGGGATGGACTAGAGGAGAGGGCCAAGGCTTAAAAGTTGTGAGCAGTCAAACCTTAAACAACAAAGTCAGATTCTTTATTTACAATGAGGAAAATAACAACTCTGGTGGTAGTATTAATGTTTGTAATACCTAATATTTATTGAGTGTTTACATAAGGCCAGGCCCTATTTTACACATTTTATATAAAATTTCTTCTTTTTTTTTTTTTGGAGACAGGAGCCTCAAGCTGTCCCCCTGGGTAGAGTGCCGTGGCATCTCCATCACAGCAACCTCCCACTCCTGGGCTCAAGCGAGTCTCCTGCCTCAGCCTCCCAAGTAGTTGGGACCACAGGCGCCTGCCACAATGCCCCGGCTATTTTTTGGTTGCAGCCATCATTGTTGTTTGGCAGGCCCGGGCTGGATTCAAACCCGCCACCTTGGGTGTACGTGGCTGGCGCCTTAGCCACTTGAGCCACAGGCGCCGAGCGTTTTTTTTTTTGAGACGGAATCTTACTTGATTGTTTCCACTTTGGGCTGTTATCAGTAAAGCTGCTGTGAATATTTGTGTACAAGTTTTTTTCTTTTTTCTTTCTTTTTTTTTGAGATAGAAACTCACTCTGTTGCCCTAGGTAGAGGGCTATGGCATCAGCCCAGCTCACAATAACCTCAAATTCTTGGGCTCAGGCAATCCTCCTTAGCCTCTGAGTAGCAGGGACTATAGGCACCTGCCACAAGGCCCAGCTAGTTTTTGTATTTTTTTAGTAGAGACAAGATCTCGCTTTTGCTCAGGCTAATCTCGAACTCATGAACTCAAGCAATCCTTTCCTTGGCTTCTGAGAGTGCTTGGATTACAGGAATGAGCCACTGTGCCTGGCCTATGTACAACCTTTTAGAGTGGTATATATTTGCTTTATTCTTCCTAACTCTAAATTCTCATAACAGTCTTAGGACATCATTACTACCCTTATCCACATTTTATAGATGAGGAAAATGAATTTCAGAGCTATTAATAACTAGCTGGGGAAAAAGCCAGAAACCTAGATTTTTTTTTTTTTTTTTTTTGACAGAGTCTCACTCCATTGCCTTGGGTAGAGTGCCATGGCATCACAGCTCACAGCAATCTTAGACTCTTTGGCTTACATGATCCTTTTGCCTCAGCCTCCCTAGTAGCTAGGACTACGGGCACCTGCCACCACACTTGGCTAATTTTTCTATTCTTGTTAGTAGAGATGGGGTCTTGCTCTTGCTCAGGCTGGTCTCGAATTGCTGAGCTCAAGCGATTCACCCTCCTCGGCCTCCCAGAGTGCTAGGATTCCAGGCATGAGCCACTGTGCCCAGCCAGAAACCTAAATTTTTTTTTTTTTTTTTTTTTTTGGAAGCAGAGCCTCAAGCTATCCCCTTGGGTAGAGTGCAATGGCATCACAGCTCACAGCAACCTCCAACTCCTGGGCTCAAGCGAGTCTCCTGCCTCAGCCTCCCAAGTAGCTGGAACCACAGGCACCTGCCACAACGCCTGGCCATTTTTTGGTTGCAGCCATCGTTGTTTGGCGGGCCCGGGCTGGATTCGAACCCACCACCTTAGATGTGTGTGGCTGGTACCCTAGCCACTTGAGCCACAGGCGCCGAGCCAGAAACCTAAATTTTGATAGGACACCTTTGATTGGGATGTGCTGGTTGGCCAGGCGAGTGTACAGGCAATCTTGAGCCTCTTACTGGGTATCTCTGCCTTTAAGCCTGGTTAGGAGGGCAAGGCAGCTTGTGTCGGAGACTGAACTGAGAGCTGGCTTGGCTCCAACACAAGGAGTGAGCCCAAGCAAACAGCTGCAGCGCTCTGGGCCTTGATGTCCCCCACTGGAAAAATAAGGTGATACCTTATCTGCTTGTCTCCTGAGGCTGTTGGCTCCAAATGATGACAGGTTGGAGGCAAAGACCTTGGTAAACTGTAAAGGATTCTTCCCAGGCAGAGATAGGCAGTGTTGATCATGGAGGGACAGAAGGAGGAGGCAGGGAAAGTTAGGGAGAGAACATGGGGGAGCGTGACAAGAGAGAGAAGTGAGCTAACACTTTGGGAGCACTCACTCCATGCTGGGCGCCATCCCGAGCTCTCCTTGTCCTAACCCGTGGAATGGTCTCAGCCATGTTGTGAGATAGGCACCCATATGACCCATCTCACAACTGGGGTACAGCAAGGGAGAGCCACTTGCTGAAGGGCACACAGCCTGCAAGTGTCAGAGCTGGGATCTGAATTCATGCAGTCTGGCTTTTTCTGAGAAAGGGAAAGAGAGATCAGAGTGAAAAAGAAGGAGAGGTAGAGAAGAGCATGGAGGGAGAGGGATGAAAAACAATGCAAGAAAGAGGTTGCAGCAAGGGAGCAGGGGTGGGGAGAGATGAAGAGGGCTGGAAGGAAAAGGGAGAAAAAAGACACAGGACCAGAGGCACCTGAAAGGAGGATACCACAGTGGGAAGGCTAAGCCAGGTGGCTTCACCTTTTGTGATTTAGGTTGTTTGATAAAAATAGCACCCCCCCCCCCAAAAATAGCAAACCCCTTCCAAGCACCTAGCCTGCCTGAGTTGCTCATTCCTGCAGTGGATCCTCCTGTGTGCCCAGGATGCAGTTAATTCCTCTTCCACAAGTTGTGACAGGGGCGGTGCCTGTGACTCAAAAGGGTAGGGCGCCAGCCCCATATGCCGGAGGTGGTAGGTTCAAACCAGCCCCGGCCAAAAACTGCAAAAAAAAAATAATAATAAGTTTTGACAATTCATGGGAATCGTCTACCAGGGAAGATCATCAGAGGCTCAGTGCCCAGATTTGTTATTGGAGCTAGTCACATAGCCCCTCCTGCTTGGCAGGTATCCACATCCCAGTACCCAGAAGAACAGCAGGTATTTGGCATAAGCCACAGCATTTGCACAAATAATTTAGGCCCAGTGACCCCCTCTCATGAGTCAGGGAATATGGGGAACCCTCCTGAAATCCAGGTTCCTAGACCGTGCCAGGGGAGCAGTCTTTGGCCTGCTGTGTTAACCCCTTCCTGCACAGCCAGAGACTGGCAGAAAAAGAGTGAGAAGAACCTCATTGCTGGGAAGTTTGAAGGCTCTGACCTTCCCTGCAGGTTATAACCTTACTCACTTGTTCTGTCCCTCCACAGCTGAGCCAGCCTCTGTCCTCACCTGTGGGTCAGGTCCCCAGAAACAAAAGTTCTCACTCAAATTGGTAAGTGAGCCTGAAGGGTGGGTGGCAGCTCCAAGGGAAGGGCCCAAGGCTTTGACCTCTGTGCCCCACTGTAAGCTGGGAGAGCTTAGCCTGGGGATCAGGGTCCCCCTGGCCTACGAGGAACAGTCAGACCTTGGGGCAGGCCACAGTTCTTTATCATACAAGGCTGTTTGAAGCCTATATTCAGATCTGGCCCTGAATTCAGCCCTGGTGCTTCCTGGCTGTGTGATCTGGGCAAGCTCATCCCCTCTCAGAGCTCAGCTTCCTCATCTGGAACAGAGCTGCTAATATCCACGTTGAGTCCCTGCCTGCCTCTGTGTATGGTTGATAGCCTTGTCATCATCCCTAGGTGTTGGGATGATGGGTGACTTTTATTTTCTTCTTTTCATTTATCCAAATTGTCTCACACTCCGGTAAAACCAGGTTGGGTGCCCTGGTTGGTCCAGGTTGGGTGCCCTTTCTTAGTCCTAGACAGAGGCTGCATGAGTGAGTCAGAGTGTGGGGTCTATGCTAGACTCCCCGATGACAGGTAACACCTGCTATTAAGAGCCTGTCACATGCCCAACCCAGGCTAAGCCATTGACAAGTGCTGCTTTGTTGAATTCTCTCAATAAGGTAGCTACCATGCCCCCATTTAACTCTTTCAGAAAGATTCAGATGGGGCTTCGCACAGTAGCACCCCACATATTGTTATTTTTACTACCATCCTCACTGGGGAAGCAGAAGTAAAGTCTTGCTCTCTGTACATCCATGTAATCAATGTGTCCTAAGGCCATGGGTGATTTGGGGCTATGAGCCAGCTTCAGGCCTAGGCCTGGAAGAGCTTCCCATCTTGTGGGGGAGATACCATGTCACAGTTCCATCAAGGAGGGGACATGATGCCAGAGAAGAAGCCTGGAGCACAGGGCCAACCACAGGACATTCAGAGCCTCCCCATCCCCTGGAGAAGACCATTCTATTCTGATGTATTTTAAAGGGTATCAGGGTTCCTGGGGTACTCCGACTCAAACTGGAGGCTGATAAGGGAGATGGTACTGAAGGCAGGAGACTTCACACCAACTTAATGCCTAAAGTCTGAGAAGTCTGGAAAGGCATACTGAGTGGCAAATTGAGGCCATGTGGTACTGATTTGATCTCTCAGGGGTCTTTTATTGTGCTCAAAAAATAGGAAAAGAGGCTCAGTGCTCATAGCTCAGTGGTTAGGGCACTGGCCACATACACCAGGGCTGGTGGGTTCGAACCTGCCTGGGCCAGCTAAACAACAATGACAACTACAAAAAAAAAAAAAAAAAAAAAAAAAAAGCTGGGTGTTGTGGCAGGCGCCTGTAATCCCAGCTACTTGGCAGGCTGAGGCAAGAGAATCACTTAAGCCCAAGAATTGGAGGTTGCTGTGAGCTGTGACAGCATGGCACTCTATCAAGGGTGACATAAGGAGACTCTGTCTCAGAAAAAAAAAAAAGGATTAGCAAGAAAGCTCGGCTCCCAGGAATGTGGGGTAATCTGGAACATAGGATAAAAGAATGTTTGGAACAGTCTGATAACGTGTACTTAAAAAAAGGGAAAGGGGGGTGGTGCCTGTGGCTCAGTGAAGAGGGTGCTGTCCCCATATACCAAGGGTAGCAGGTTCAAATCCGGCCCCAGCCAAACTGCAACAACAAAAAAAAAAGGAAAGGGGAAAGCAGTTTTTGTCCCTGCAATGCATATATCTTTATTTCTTTTTTTTTTAGAGACAGAGTCTTACTTTGTTGCCCTCGGTAGAGTGCTATGGCATCACGGCTCACAGCACCCTCCAGCTCTTGAGCTTTAGGCAATTCTCTTGCCTTAGCCTCCCGAGTAGCTGGGAGTACCGGTGCCCACCACAACTTCCAGCTATTTTTTGTTGTTGTTGCAGTTTTGGCCGGGGCCGGGTTTGAACCCACGACCCTCGGTATATGGGGCCAGCACCCTACTCACTGAGCCACAGGCTCCGCCCTGCAATGCAAATATCTTAATTTCCCTAATCTAAAACTGCTGACTAGGAATCCAAAGGTCTTAACCCACCTGTTCTGAGCCCCCACACAGGGATGATCGGTCCCCTGACTGAGCTGCCTCCAGGCTCCCTGTCTTCTTAGGTGGTCTGGTGAGATTCTTCGCTGATCTGGGAGACGCCACAGGGATGACCTGCCTGCATGCTTTACCCTGAATTGGAGAGCCCATGGAGAGATCAGCCTACCTATCTCCCATAAAAGAGCATGTGTCCATTGGTGTTCATCCATTCATTTATTCATTTGTTCACCAAATCTTTTCTGTGGCTTCTTGTGAACTGAGTGCTAGGAACTTCTGCAGAGATGGCAGTTCTTTAAGGAGCTGCCCCGCTAGGAGAGTGGGGCACAGGCATGAAGGTACCACATGGATTGAGCAGGGCCTGAGCAGGTATGCCCACATCAGCTAAAAATTTACCCAGAGCTCACTGTGGCTTCATCAGAGGGGACTCTGGAGCAGGAGGAGGATGGGCAAGGGCTGGGGACAGACTCACTAATGACTGGTAGCACCTGCTGATTGAGACTCTTGTGTGTAACACCCTGGGCTGAGAGTTTCACAGGCCTATAAAGCCTGCAGGGTGGCTAGGGTGTTCCCATTTAACAGATGAGAAAATGGAAACTCATTTGCTCAGGGGCACCAGCATACAAGTTGTTTAGTTCACACTATTATCCATAAGGTCCAAACAATACTCAGTACTTAATAGAGGCCTCGTAGAAAGAATGAATAAGTGACAGAGCTAGGATTTGTCCCTACCTCTGTTTGGCCTATGCTCTTAAGAACCTTGCTGCAGAGTGGCACCTGTGGCTCAGTGAGTAAGGCGCAGGTCCCATATACTGAGGGTGGCAGGTTCAAACCCGGCCCTGGCCAAACTGCAACCAAAAAATAGCCGGGCATTGTGGGTGCCTGTAGTCCCAGCTACTCAGGAGGCTGAGGCAAGAGAATCGCCTAAGCCTAAGAGCTGGAGGTTGCTGTGAGCTGTGACACCACAGCACTCTACCAAGAGCAACAAAGTGAGACTCTGTTTCTTAAAAAAAAAAAAGGAACCTTGCTGCAGTGGGCGGGCACAGTGGCTCATGCCTGTAATCCTAACACTCTAGGAGACCAAGGCAAGGCAGGTGGATTGCCTGAGCTCATGAGTTCAAGAACATCCTGAGCCATAATGAGACCTGGTCTTTAAAAGTAGCTGAGCATTTTGGCAGTTGCCTGTAGTCCCAGCTGTTTGGGTAGGCTAAGGCAAGAGAATCAGTTGAGCCCAAAAGTTTAAGGTTGCTGTGAGTTAATGATGCCACGGCACTCTACTGAGGGCAATAAGGTGAGGCTCTGTCTCAAAAAAAAAAAAAAAACCTTGCTGCACAAGTTGTGTTTAATTAAAATATTTGGTTTAATTGCCATTTTTAAAAAGGTCCAATATCAGTAATAGCTTAAGCAAGATAATATTCTATTGCTTTTTCACTTAAAAGTCTGGGGCAATGGTCCAGAACTGATAAAATAGTTTCATAAACAAGGAGCCCAGTTTCCTTCTTTTCTCATTGCTCCAACATCTTCCGCTCATAACCGCTATCTCTTGGGCTGAGATTCTGCCTCAGCTGCCACTGTCACCTGAGTGTTCTGGCCACCTGGAGCAGGAGAAGAGGAAAAACCCTATCCCCTCCTGTTAAGGGCACAACTTAGAAGTTGCCCACATTTCTTCTACTCATACCATTTGGTCATGTGGCCATTCCTTACTGCAGAAGAGGTTAGGAAATGTAGGGTTTTTTTTTGAGACAGAGCCTCAAGCTGTCCCCCTGGGTAGAGTGCCGTGGCATTACAGCTCACAGCAACCTCCAACTCCTGGGCTCAAGCGAGTCT